GTGAACAACTACAGGTTTTTTGATAAATAATGTTTTAATAAATAACTTTATAAAAAAAACACACACACACAAAAAAAAAAAAAAAAACCAACAAACTTCCCTATTTGCCTTGCTTCCTTCCCTGTTTCACTCTTGGCTGTAGGATGCTCCAGCTCTTGAGCTGCAGGATGGTACCTGGTGGGGGATGCTGGGTGACCATCATGTTCTCCTCCCCCATGAGGGTGCCAAACACTCCCACAGCCCAGCTCCCAGCCAGCTTTCAGCCACAAGTGCCCTAAAACTTGCTTCATGGCTGAACTCATTGTTTAAGTTTGTGGTTGTGATGCTACATTCAGCCCACTGCAGCACATGGAAGTAAAGATCCACCTACTCTGTTCCACCCACTGTGTTCATCAGAGCGGAGTTAAACATGGTGGGAAGTGCAGCAGAAGTGCTGCAGCTGATGTTGTCCCATGAACTGCTTTGAACATCAGCATTCCCAGCTGTTACTCTTCAGGGAGACCTTACAGCCACTAAAGGAGTCATGGTCATTCCTCATTTTGTGAGGAAACTGGTATGCTGGATAATGCAGAGGAGCTGCAAAGCAACAAGTGTGATTGGGCACATCTGTGGGCATGTTGGTTTCTTCAGAGGTGGTTGGCTGGCACAGGTGGGAGTTCATTTTATGAGATTGCTCCAAGAATGTCAAATCCAGCCTTTGTTTGCTCAATACATGGAGCTGCTGGTGCTTGTATGATTTGGTGTTTTTTGATGGCACTTGCACCACTACCTGAGGGCTCTCCTCTGTAGCTCTGATTTCTCCTGGGGCTGATCAAGGAGAGTGAGTTTCCGCAGTTCAGTTGAGTCTTAAAGCTCCATGGGGATCTGTTCGCCCACATCATGCAAGACAGGCTTGGACAACCTGTTATGAGATTACAAATACCTCTTGTGATGGCTTTAACAAGAGTCTGTGTGAGCTTGACAGGCATCACAGTGCCTCCTGATGCAGGCTGAAGTGTTGTTACATTGGAGATGAAGGGGTTCTGTCAGTCATCCTGGAGCTGAAACATGAACTAGAGGACCTGCATGACCTTGTCTAGAGGAGGTACAAGAGAGGCTGTTGTACAACAACACAGGGATGCTCCTTGCAAGATCATTTCCAATCTGCTCTGGGCAGCATCCTCCAGCCTCACAGGCTCTTTGAGCTTATTCTGTGCTGAAGAAATGCACAAGAGATTTTCTGCTCCAGTGCCTGAACTGACCCCTTTGCTCGAAAGGTTTGCTGTGGCTGTAGAGAAAAGCGAGCAAGGAGCTGGGCACATCAGGAGCACATGCATCAAATGCCACCATCATCCTGCCCTTCAGCACAACAACAGAGGATCTGTGTTCAGTAACCCCAGGAGCCACTCCTGAGACACCCAGTGTGGCAGAAGTGTCAAAAATGATTGTCATTTCCTCCACCAATCGAGTTTGTCACACACTGTTTCATCAGGCTTTCCCAACCACAAAGCAGGCTCCTGGAGTCCTACAGCCATCCCCAGCAGGGAGCTGCTGCCCTGCATTTCTCTGCCCATCCCTGGGGATAAATCCAACACACAAGCCTCTCCAAGGAGAGCTTGGGAAGCTCTAGGCTCAGGACCTGCTTAAAACCAGCCTGTAGGAGACTCAGGAGACCATTCCTCACTGAGTCCCACAGGGCAGGATGGGAGAGGGTTGAGGCACAGAGATGTCCACTCTCACCATGCCAACAGCCACACACTAGGTGATACGTGTGAGCACCCCACGGTAGGAGTGCAGAAGATGTTCCTAGTGTCACTCTGTTTAATGGCCTTCACAGAAAGAGTTGGGCTTTTTGTCTTCTGCCCCACATCCACACACAGAGTTGAAGTGGCCAAGAGCAGCCGGTAGGTCCAGGAGGAGTTAAACGCCACTATTAGTTTACATGAGGGGGGTGAAGCACAAGCAGGAGGAGGGGGGAAAAGGAGCTGGCTCAGCTTACAGAGATCCCTGAGCGCGCCCTGGAACCGGAGCTGCGCCGGGTGCTTGGGTGACCCCACACCGTCCCCCTCGGGGACAACCACATGAGGGTCCTGCCAGCCGAGTGCTCTGCCCTGGTCTCATCATGGTCACCGTGGCCAAGGAGAGGCAGATGCTCCAGGAACTACAGAGAGAATCATAGAACAGAATCAGAGATAGATGCTATGATGTTTGCTTATTGATTTATTCTATAAAAGAAGCAATGAGTTTCCTTTGGCTCCTCCTGCCACGAAGGGATCTAAGGAATGTCAAGATGCGGCGCACAGGCCGCAGCAGAGCTGCTTGTGGTGGGCATGGGCCACGGCTGTGGAATTATTTCAGAGAGAGGAAAATGTCAGCATGATAAAAAAACATGTGCCACGTGCTGCCAGGAAATGGGGCTCCTACCCTATTCTAAACCTGGATCAGACTTCTAATGAAAGTTAACTTGCTCACCCCGCCTTTTCTTTTGACATTTAAAGCTAAATTTAGTTGGCTGCCACCCCCTGCTGAAGGCCAGCAAGTGCTGCTGTAGGAGGCTGGGGAACAGGCACGTTTTCATTCACTGCCTTGCCAGCACACACCCACTATGGGAAGTGGAGCAGCAGCAGCACCTCAGCCATGCCAGCACAGAAACGGGTGAAACCCCAGGTGTCTGTAGGTTTGCAGCACTGCCCTCCGCAGCGGGGGCAGCAAGGCGGGCGGGCCCCCAGGCCTGGGAGCCTCCACGCACCCACCCGGCCCCGACCTGGGGCACCCACAACTGCAGAGGCCACCCATGAAGTCAGAGGAAAGGCCCATGATGAACCTCCACAAGGACCAGCAACCAGATGTGGACATAGCAGGGAGGGAAGGGGGACGAGGAAAGAAACCCCCACTTCAAGGGGTGATCTGGTTGCTCTCTGCCCTAGAGACTGGGCACCGCTCTCGTGCCGGGTGCTGAGAGGCACGGCCGGGCCCAGGCTCTCCCTCCCTGCAGGGCAGCAGTGTTCAGCACGCAGCTTCGCTCCAACATCAGACAGCTCTGCTGCAAGAACACTTCAGACAGACCTCTACCTACGTGTAAGTCTGCTACTTCAACAACATCCTCACCAGGGCAGAATCCTGTCCCCCTCATCCCCCAGAGTGACTGAGGAACCTTCTGTGGTCTTCCCACAGGCATGACTGTCACCTGGCATGGAAGACCGTGGCAATTTTCGGTCATCGAGGCTTATACAAAGTGGCTGCTGCAGCAGAGGAGGTGATGAGCCACCCCCCAGTGGGGGGCTGCCGCCCCTTGCCAGAACAGCTCCTGCTGGCCACCAGCACTGGGTGTGAACCTGCACCCTCCAGCTAACAAACAAACCAAACCCATCTGTTATAGCTAGACCAGAGCAGCTACACTTGGAACAAAGCTACAATCAGCAGTCAGAAGGAGCCCAAAGCTTTCATTACATCAAAATCACTTTCTTTCATGCATCCATTTTTAAGTCTGCCTGCTAAGGTATGTGACACTTCATCTTGCTCAATATCCCCTCTGGAGGACATCCATCAGAGGACTCCAGCATTGACAACAGAAGCCAAAAAGCATCACAGGCAGACATCACCAAAGGCAGCACAACAGTAAACAGAACTCTTGGGAACATTTTGCAGTTGTACTGAAAATGTGTTTGCACATAAGGGTCTTGCTACTTTTCACTGTTGGTACCTGAAGCAAACGCAGTCTTAGAGGAAGCTGCTTCAAGTTATAGTTATTGCAGAAAGTTTAAAATTTGGCTAGAAATAAAATCCATGACGACCACTGTGCCTCAGTTCCCCTGAGCACCAGGAGCACCTCTAACGCCCACGCATGGGTCACACCAGGAGAGGGAAGTTGCAGAAACAAATTTAAAATATCACTGAAGTGCTGAACAAGCCATTCCCAAAGCCTGAGTGCTGGCCTAGGTGTGCAAAGCAGCCCCTGAGATCCCATAGCTCGGGATTTTATGTTCCTTTCAGCATTCTGAACCCAAACCTTGTCCTCCAATGGCTGCGCCAGGGTCTTGCTTCAACTGGTGGTGCCCTGGTGTAACCCACCACCAGCCAGAGCTGGGCAAGGCTTCCTCCTGCACAGCTCCCCAGCACTGCAGGGGGTCCAGCAGGAGCCTGGTGACGACCCACAGCCTGCCCTGCCCCCCCAAAGTCCCGAGAGCAGCAGGGCCCTGGCTCAGGGGGAAGCTCCAGGGCACCACAGCAGCTCCCTCACCGGGCAGTTTTCACCTAAGGATTTGGAGCACATGCTGCCAGAGCCGCCACTTCAGAGCCAAGTCCTCCGACGGATCTGCCCACACAGTCCAGTGCAGGAGGCCAACGCGCGCAAAGGTGCCATGGGGAACATGAGTGTTTCCAAGGTTTGGTATATTCCCAGGGGATGTTGGCTAAATTTGGGAATGACTCAGGTGCCCATCTACTCAACTATCAGCTTCCTTAACTACCACCTCCTATCTTTTCCTTCAAAAAGCGAGCAAACCTAGCCTCCCATGGTTTATCTGATCACAGCACAAGGCGTTTATGTGGAAACTCCACTTCAGATGGGTGCCACAAAACGAATTCAACTTCTCAGAGAAGTGAAGAAAATTTTCACTAGCAACAGGCAACGCTGATCATCAAATGACTAGTGATGCTTTGGATTAAGGATAAAACCCATTTATTCAGGCTTTGTGCGGGGCGCACGACTCGACGCGGTTACGTATACACGGTATGCACATCCTCAGAGCGTACAAAGAGGCACGTAGCAACAGGTGCTTACACTGGAAATGTATGTACACACATTAAATTGGAGCTTCACATTAGAAAATTACCTGACGCTATTTATCTATCATCAAGGCTATTAGAAATTGTGTAGAAAACCAATAAAACTTGGAAAGTATCTGCTCTTATTTCACTTTACCCAGGTTGGATATAGAGTCAGGCTTCCCACACAACATCATTTGTGGGCAAAGCCAACAAGATCCCCCCAAATGCTTTGAAGAGTGGCATCACTGTTCACTCTAGCATGTCCCATTACATGTTAAAGATTAACATATTAGGACTACTTCCTGTTTTTCTGGGAAGAACAACAGCTTAAATACTTCAAAAAGCTAATTTTCTCCTGGGAAAAGACAACAAAGGAGAGCTTTAGAGACCATGAGAGAACCAAACGTTAGCGAAATGTCGTAACAGCAGTTCCTGGTCCTTCCAAAAACCTCTTCACGGACCAGGCAGCACCTAATTTAAAGTGCTGTAAACGGTCCAGATTTACAGAAGTGCAATAGCAGGATTTGGCAGACCCCAGGTCTTCTGCTGATCTTTACCTTGCTCCTATCCTAAGGGCTGCAAGAGATCGTACTTTTGTAACCTGCACAAAAAGACACAGAGAGATCAAGTAGATTTAGCAAAAAGGATACTAAACAAAACCAACAAATAGAAATATGCAACAACATCATAAAAGCCATACTTCATTCCCTAACACGGTTCTAAATTTAATTTCTGACTGAATTTCGTTTCTACGACAACAGCGGAATGAGGGAGCATCAGAAAAAGAACGATTTAAGAAACACGTGGTCCTTCTGGCCAAGGTCCCCAGGGACACCCAGAACCCATCTTCACTAACTTTCAGCTTGAAGAGTAGGTCCTCTTTAACTACTCTTCTATGCCAGCATCAAACTCTTACACGCACCAGTACAGTTTTGATGGCAAATTTTAGCATTATAAAGGACCCGGCCTAAAATCCAGCAGGGAAGAAGTTTTAGAGGACTAATTTGCTAATGCAGACAACACAAACCACAGCTGGGTGCAACACAGCCAAGACTGTGTTGAAACTGCTCCCACAGGTGGCTGAAACAAGATGCCTCATGTAGAATATTTGTAGAACGTTCAATCACAGCCAGTATGATTTCAGACTTCTCTTCAGCACAGCACATGTGCCATTTGCTGTATAAGCTCTTGGGCTTAGCTTATTCACTTTGCTCCCTTCCATGAGCCTTTTGGAGAAAAGGTGAGGACAGCACAAAGAACCTCTCTCAAATTTATTTCTCTGCTGAAGTTTAGAGGTCTCCAGTGGAAATCTTTACAATGAGTCAAACTTTACTTGAGTGAAGATACATTTCAAAAAATGTGTATTTTCTATGTTGATTTTTATGTAAAATGCATTGTTGAAGTGGCTTTAACAATGTGTTCCTTTTAGAGAACTACTTCCTTAAAGATACTATATTATGAATAGGCAAAGAATAATTAGTATTTTAAATCCAGCCTTCCTATAGTGTAAGGCTCTCATTCTGACTGTTTTAGAAAAACACCTCAGTTACAAGTACTAATAAATCAGAATTTTATTCAAAAAGAATCAGGAAAAATACTTAATTACCAGATTCTCTTCATCATTCAATAAGCATAAGGAATGAGTTGATACTGAAAAGTAAGAAGCCCTCTATAGCACTTTTTTACATGTAGAGCTAGGTGTAACATGTAGGAACATCATGTCAAATTTTACACCGCAGCCTGTTTCCCCACAGAAGTTCTGGGACACTCTCTGTCACAGAAGGGCTGTGGGAACTTTCAGGGCTTGAGCATAAGCAAATAAGATGTATGGTTAAGACTTTGAAGTACTAAAACCACCCTGGTGTGTTAGAAGTCTGGCAGCAGTTCCTGGCCAGGGGTGGGGAGGATAAACAGCCCTCTGGCAGCGAGTGACGCTGTAGACTGGGAAGGTGCCACCGAAACCAGTGGAACGCTTCCTGGTACTAAGAGATCCCTAGAAATAACTGGGGTTTGCAGGAGGATAAAAACAAACACGCAGGTAAATAGATCAAATTTTGGCATCAAGGACAAAACTGAACCACACTCTGCATGCTGTAATATTTTTTTAAATAATTTTTTAAGCACAGCTTTAAAAAGCTTGATTTTTAAAATTATTCAAGTCTATACAAAAATAAGCAGCAACATATTTCACTTTAATACAGTTATTACAAGCCATACACTGCATTAGAAATCTTTGGTTTAATCACACTATGTATACATTTTTAAATATACATGTGTATACACACAAATTATCAAGCCCAGTTAAATCAAATACTACCTCTCTGTCAGAAAAGTTTCATCCCTTAAAATCCAGATTGCAAAACTAGCTACAGTGTCACAGGCAAAACACAATTGTACAGACATTGCTGGGGAGGAAAAAGGTATTTTTACTCTTTAAGTGATGGAATAAGCCACAACACAAGTAATTAAAGGAAATACGACTGAAGAAAGAAGTATACAGTATTCTCTTCTCCAGGGCTCTCCAGAGTACTGTGCTGAAAGAATCCAGCAAATGGCAATAACTAAACAAAAAGCCTGCTGCATTTTACCAAAGCACTTTGCAACCACAGATTTAGTTGGAGAAGTCCACCTTGCCTTATGCAGCTGCCTGCCTCCTATATCCAACCCTGCAGTCTAAGTGGTCAGTTAATGCAACTTTTCTTTTGGTAAGCTTTAAGGCTTAAACTTTTCCCCCCACAATGCTTTTTAACTAATAATGACGCAACATCTTCCTTCCCTGTCTTAATTTTCATTCTCATACAGAAATTCATAGAATCATAGAATGTTTGGGTTGGAAAGGACTTCCAAAGGTCATCTAGTCCAACCCCTTGCCATAAGCAGGGATATCTCCAACTAAGTTAAGCTGCTCAGAGCCTCATCAAGCTTGACTTTGAATGTCTGCATGGATGGGGCCTCCACCACCTCATTTTTTATAAATAATAAAAATTATTTAATTGCTTTAAAGCTTGAAATTGTCTAAACTGAAATCTATTCTTGAGATGAAATAGCATGACACACTAGCAAGGGCAAAAATAAAACCAAAACAACCACAGTAAAGCAAGACGAGAATTAAGAATCAGTTCAAGGACAGGAAGAAACATATGGAAAAGGCCATCCAAAGCAGACAGAAGCCACCACTAGCAAGGAAGATCTGAGAATTTATTTTCAAGGCTTGATATTAAAATTGTCAGGTATAAAATCTTTTTCCCCAACACCTGGCACTGCTTTTTCAAGGGAGGATGGGCTGAAGAGCCACTCGTTACCTAACTCCTCAAAGACATCCGAGTTTCTGCTATAGAGAAGTTCAGCTTTTACCAGGGTGACCTGCAGACAAGGTGTGAAGCTAGGCAGGAATATAATCATAGCTCTTTAAATAGGAGTCCACAGGAAAAAGTCAACTATTTTAATATTTTATCTTTCTTTTTATTATTTTTACATCCAGGATAACCGTTGTGCAGAAAAGCAAAGCCACAGCACCACGATGACACACAATTATGCCAACAGCTCTACTGTTGGAGCAGACAGAGCCATCCAGTTGCAGTGCTCTCTCTTACATAGTCCAGACAGACAGATAAGCTACACAACAACAGCACAGAATCTCTCTCCCACATGCTCCCTTCTGTGTATGACTGGATTTAGGCTCAAAGTTGAACCTCATGGGTATAAGCCCTGTGATTCAGATCTTCCCTGGTTTTCTGCGCGCATTAACATACTTGGTTCCTGGCATTTTCTCTTCTCCTGAGTGCTACTAGCAATTACTAACTAGTCAATACACTCATTTCTTCTATAAGGTGGCATATTCTATGCATGCCTGATTAGAGAACATGTAGCCAAAATGCCAATCCAATGATGATTCCAAGAAGTAGCAGTACACAGTTCTAAATTTAAATATGATGAGTTAGCTGGCTTTGTTGAAAAGAATACTGTACGATCCCAAATGTACAAGAAAAGGAAGAGCTGCATTTTCAAATGGTACAGAGAAGTACAACAGGCACTGAGCAGCAAGATGAATGCCTCAAGCACTGCTTGCAGGAGAAGAGATCCAAGAATTCGAAATCATTAAAGTGAAGAAAAGCTGCCAAGGACAGGAAATATAAAGCAAAAGTACTAAGATAAAGATTTCTTATCATTTTCAGAAATTTTTCTGATGCGTGAACAAGCTTGCTGTCCTGTCCCAAATCCCTAAGCACTGAATCTGCTCACTTAAATGTAAATAAAGTGTTCCCAGCAATAAAGACAGTGGCAGGATCAACTGGTCTGTGTGTCCTGGATGTTACCTTCATGTTCTCAGCTTACTTTGCTGAAGATCGAACAACACTTGGCATAAAAGTTTTCAGCCTCAGCCCCAATGCAAATGAGTGTCTTCCTGGCAATACAACTGCAATTACCATATTCATAGAGATTATTAATTAATCAGAAGCGCTGCTTAAACAGAAGTAACGTGTGACTATTCCAACTCATCAGTATAATGTGTTTTAAGAGAACATCTGACAGCAGTCAACCATCTACTGGAAGCTCAAATTAGTAAAATACTATTGAAGTTACAGGTTAAGAAGTTAAATACTGTATCAAGTTGAATGAAGAAATCAAGGGTGAGGAAGAAGAGTGAAAGGTGAGGCCAGCGGGAGCTGTCCTCACCTTGATAGGAGATCCTGCTGAGGTCAGTGTAAGCGGCCAGGGAGCCTGTCACACGATTACTGCCTCACCCGGGGACACGTGGGGTGTGTGTTGCTGGAACAAGCAGAGGAGCAGCTAGAACCATGCATGTACACAACTCTCATCGTGCCAGTGCAGAAATGCTCCAAGGCAAAATTATCTGCAGACTGCAGAGGATGTCTTCTGCTGAAATTTAGCAATCTGTAATACAGAGACCAGTCTGGGTACACGTGGCCTTAAGAACTCCAAGACCTTATAGTGCAGGGCAGCAGGCTTTCTAAAAGCCTTCAGATAAATATTCAGATAAAGGCAATCGATCTGATGTAAATAAGGTAATTTAAAAGCAAACTAACATAAAAACCTACAAACAAGTGAAAAAAAAAAAAACACAAACCAAAAAAGCAAGTAATGCAATTGTCCTACCTCTGAGCTTGATATCTTTTCACCTGATCCATTTATCCAGAGCACAGGGAACATTTAACTCCTACCAACAAGTGCATTAGGAATATTTGCACTGACCAGGCCTCCTCCTTTGATGTGCATTTCCATCTCCCCTGGTTTCTTCTACTGCCTAAAGCCTACTGCTGGGAACAGAAACTCTTGACACATTATTTACAAAAATCAATACAAACACCTAATGCAATCTCAGCAGTTGAAAATGCTTCATTTCCCTTTGTTAACTTTGCCTTTCCCTAAACGTGAGCTATGTGAGCATAACTCATTTCTTACTGAAGATCTGAAATACTGGAGGCACTGCTGCAAACACTGTGGGGCTCTCCTGTTGAAGAAACTGGATGGTTTGCGATTGGAGTTTTGGAGAGAAGCTTTTTGGGCTTTGGTGAGTCCACCTGATTCACATTAAATGAAACATACATTTGATATGTCAGCAATCTCTTTGCATAGAAAGGAATTAAAAGCAAAACAAGTCAAAGCTTCTCCAACTGCACTCCAAAGGAGCAGTTTATTAGCTTGGTGCCTAAGATCCAACCCAAGTGACAGACCCCATGAATCAAAAGAAGATTGGGTACCTGGCTCAAGCCTATAGACCCACGCTCTGCTCAGAGAAACAAAAAGTGCAACTCCCTCCAACAAACTGGCTGCTGAATTTGCTGAACAAATTACTGGTCACACAGTGAATTTATGGATGCTGCAACAGAACACTGGAAAGGAGTCCTCACCACAAGTGAGTAAAAGGGCCAGTGAAGGATTCTAGCTCACATTGGTCTTTGTGCTGGGTGGTTTTTTTTTTCCATATAGCCCTCTACCATTGTTCTTCTCCATTGCACCGTCTCTTCCAGCCCTGAGCTGCTCCTTGCTGCTGACTAGGTCCTGAAACTGGGAAAAGGACTGGTCATGTTAAAACCCACATGCTTGCAGACCAGTTGGCTGGGGAGGAAAGGTGCTGCAGTGGCCTGCTCAAGAGCAGAGCAGAGGAACACACCACTGGACGGGCACTCACGGCAGCCAGCCAGAACCATTTCCTAGCCCCCCACCCAGCATGGCACTTTTGGCTGGGTGCAGGGACTCTGTCTCCAAGCACAAACAGAATATTCTTTAAGGGAGTCAAAGAAATTGTCAGTTTTTATGTTGATCCATTGACACTCCATTTTCCAGAAAAACCTTATCTCCCAGCTAAGACACATTAAAAGTTATATGTATGATACAAAAGAGCAAAGTTCATTTATTAATAGAATTTGTAAGGAGGCTTTCAATTTTCTTATGTTATTTTTACTCAGAAAATACATTTATGAACACCAGCATTGACAACCTCAACCCACTGGGATACATCATTTGTTAAAATTCCTGATTCTTGAAATTAACGTGATGCCTTGGGGAAAACACCTTTTTAAGATTATCCACATGCAAACAGGCATGGAAATCACTTCCATAGAAGTATTTCAAAAGCAAAAGGTTTTAACTGATCATTTTAATCTCTGTATTTTCTTTGGAGTAAGAAAACATACTTGAGGTACGTTCTTCTCAGAAGCTTTAAGTATTTCGTTTAGAACAAACCTTGTTTTTTTCTCAGAGGTACTTAAGCAGGTAATGTGAACAGCCCTAGAGAACATGTTTTAAGAAATAGGCAAAAGCACAATAATGCTTTCCAAACTGGGTTTAACAAAGCAGACATGCATTTTGTTCTGTTTTGGATAAAATGACCATACGAGAAACATACTCAAAAAATACAAGCATCAGAAAATTTAGGTTTTGATGTTCAGAGGAGACTACTTGAAGAAGACCGAATATCTTCTTTCCTGTTGAGGCATTCTGGGTGATTGTTACTAGTCTGGCCTGCAAACAGTGGCACAATTTTACACCCTTTTTGCTCTACCTCTCGAGCATGTTTTTAAAAAAGCCTTTCAAAGCACTTACCTTCCCCTTCAAGCACAACATTCTGAAGTTGCATACCTATGCAGCTCTCTAACAAGGGAGAAACCTCAAATCTAACACTTCAGCAGGACGAGGTCAAGAAGACAGAAGTATAAAAGCAGAAATATGCACAGTTAAAAGTACCAAGTACACACGTTTTAATTAAGCACAGCAATTCTGCCACACTGAATAACAAAAAGGTTCATGTGCTTGTACTGAGTGCAAGGCCAAACAAATACAACGTAGAATGGAAGATCACCTGAGAGATCTGATTTGTGGGAGAGCTGCTTAGCATATTAATTTGTATACCTATTTATATGGGACTATTCCTGCCTTCTCTAAGTGTATTAGACAGGTGAAAATGCCCATAAATTTGCCATCATCTAAAACATACAGCCACCCACGTATTTGACACTGTCCACTACAAAGTGCAGTATCAAAAAACCACATCAAGGTTTCTCAGCACTTAAGACATTGACCTATAATCTAAATTTCAGTTAGCCTGGGGCTAAGCAATGTGTAGGCAGTGATTGAAAGTTCTTACATTACCCATAGAGCTCTTACATGGCCAAATCACCCTCTGTTCTCAAGAGAGTCAATTTGCTCTGATGATTCACATCCTGTTTTGAATGGACAATCACCAGTGCTTCCTCACAACTCTGTGTGGGGATTTCTTAAGCAGAGTATCATTCTCTACGGATACAATTTGAATATTTTTTTATTTCATTTTGACAAGTGTGAAACAAGATGATCAAAATCTGTACACTGCTCTGGAAAATGGCTATTACAGCACATTTACAAAAGCTGTCAGAAAGGGCATTAAATAACAACAATGGACCTCAGAGAAATTAATTGTATCTCTTTATTGTTAACCAATGAATGTTATCCAAAATAGTAGATGTAATTGTAGCTTAATTGTACAACACAAAACATGATGCTAAAGGAAAAAGCACGTGGAAAATTACTTCACCGAGTAATCATTAGAAGTATTCTTAGTATTTCTGCACCATTAAGTGTTCCCAACTGCTGGTGACAGCAGCTATTACCACTTTGTTCATTGTGAAAATCCGTATTACAAATGGTTGTTCCTGGTTGTTTAGAAAAAAAAATAAAATCACACAGCTTTATAAACGGATCTAATCCATTTAGGCCTACTCTATATATTGTAGATTTATGAACAGCAAACTTTACTGGTATTTTTTCCCCAGCACTGAAACTGATGTTATCAGTGTTGGTGCCCACTTTGCAGGGAAAAAGGAGCGCTCACTGGAAGCACAGTATTTCACCTGCCCTGGCAAACTGCTCGAGTGCTTCGGAATCTCCTTAAGCGTCGGTGTACGGAGCCTGTGAAACAAACTGTTCCTGCAACGCCTTGCAAGTAGAAACACCAACTTCCACCAAGCAGCATTTTGAAGCATGTGCACACCACCTTCTGCACATCAGTCTTCAAGGTCAGATATGTTTAGCCCCACAAACCAAAAATATATTAATGTACCTTTATTTTATTTTCAGGATGTCACCCCGCATAGCCAACCTTTTAAGTCCGCAAAATAATAATAATAAAAAACCCCTTAGTTGGACTGTTCATAAGAAATTTAAACCTATTGTGCATGAAAAAAAATGTTTAATAAAATGGCAAATTTTAATAGATAAGTGTAGATTTATGAGTGTATAATATCAAACAGAAAAGAGCTGAACCATCCTCAGAGAAAGCAGGGTACTTCCACTGCAGGTATTTACTAGGGTAGTACAAAAGAAGGAATAACTTCAAAGTCAATGTGGACTGCAGTTATTTCTAAAGTTGAATTTCTAAGCAAATTTCTCAAAAAATCACGTCTCCTTTTCAAGAGGAAAAGGACTTAGTAACAACGATCTAACATCTGGTATGACAACTACGATACCAGCTTCACTGAAAACTGAAGCTACAAACACTTTACTCCAATTGTGGGAACTTTCATTTTGTATTTGGAAACCCAAAACCAAACTGACACTCACATTCTACACCCCTCCCAGGAGATAGTATACCAGTGACAGGTTACAGCTTTAAAACATGCAAGATGCTTTTACAATTTAAGCTCAACAAAAGGCAGTTAGACAGTACTTAGCCCTATATATCCATCTTAAAGTAAAATAAAATCCTAGGACTACGGGGTCCTAGCATTCTATAGTATCACTGTGAAGTGATAGTCTATTTAAACAGGTTTTTTCATGGTGTTTGAAGGACCAGTCATCATGTACATAGTAGTGAGGTAGGATACTGTCCCCTCCCTGGGACTGATGTTTTCATATGCTCCCTTGCCAGAAAGGTCCAGGTCTCCCTACTGCAAATAAAATACTTAAAAGCAAACAGCACATGAAGCTTCGTATTTTTTTTTCTTTGCTGCATTAGAACATTTTGCGCATCTAAAAGAATCACCTAGAAAGAGCAAAACTTACTCAAGCCTATTAGCAACCATGTGCTGCCCACAGGTAGTGTTCCATTTAAAAACATCTCCTGGAACTACCACCTGCCAGCCAGACCTTTGTGAACAGGTAGGCAAAGAAAACCATCAATGATGACAGGACATGAAACACCAGAGAATTTCACTTGGGAGAAAGAAAAAAAGCACACAACCAAACAAAACACACACAAAAAAAAAAAAAAAAAAAAAAAAACAAAAAAAAAAACCACACACTGAAAGTCAGCACAACCAAACTCTTAGGGGTCTAGCTACGTTGAAAATGTAATTTCAAACCTCATACTGAAACAGCACCTATCCCATTTAGCTTCAGGTTCCATTTTTCCTCCTATTTCTTAATGTTTAAGCAATATATACACTTGTCAGTCATGATACACTTCACATCAGTTTCCAAAGGGGGACAAAAAACCCTAACCAAAGCAAAAAAAAAAAAACACAAAACAATGAAACTGAAACACATGGTGGGGAAAAAGCTGCTATCAATCTCCACGCCCTCCCCCCCAAAAAAACTAGGGATAATATACTGCCTTCCTGTTGAACAGCTTCCCCTAAATTTGTCTTCTAACCACTGTAGTCAAACTGGTATTAAGTGCTTTGGCAAAGTGGGGTGCAATCCATCGAATCTGCACAGGCCTGCTTTTTTCTCTGCTGGTGGTTCAGCTCTGCGAGGAACACGTATGGGAAGGAACAGCTCTCACATGGCCTCGAACTCGTCGATGCGCTGCTTGGTGTTGCCCTGCCGGATCTGCCGCAGAGTCTTGTACTTATCCCGGCCCGCTTTGACGTTCTCCGCGTGAAGGACGTCGTTCTGCGTCTTCTTGCTTTCGTCTCTGGCTTGAGCCAGCTCAGAACTCAACGCCTGTCGAACGAAAATATTTGCGTTTAAGTGCTTCGACTAATCTTCTAACAATTCTGGAATTTCTGATAGCTATTCTGCAACTTGGATAAGGATTTCTTGAATGCCAACCTATGAAATGTTTGCTGTGCTGTTCAGTAACTCAGGCTGTGAGGTCTATCAGAGAGACTGCAGAGGGAAA